ACACATGCCTTCGGGATTGTGGCACAGTTTTTGCCACTAGGCCACCAGAGCTCCCATAAGAATATTATAGATACTAATATATATACTACAGATGATATGGATTCCATTCTCTGCTGGATTTTGCATCTATAGCAGGGTTCAGATGATCATTAGAGTCTGGCAATTATTTGATATTCTATTTATATATAAGCAAATTATCTAGTTATTAAATTATTTATAATTGCATTAGAGAGATGTATAGCATAGTAAAAAAGTGCATGGGCTTTAGAGGCAGATAGATTTTAAATTGTATCATAGTGCAAACAGTATTTCTGCCCCTGTCTTCTAAGATCTTTGATTTCTCAAAATCTCAGTTTCCCCAACTATAAGATGGCAACAATGCCTACGTCTGAGAAATGGTTTGAAAAGCAAATGAGATCAAATATGTACATTTCCTGGTGAAAGTAGTAGTGTTAACCAGATATAAACTTGTCTCAGATCTCCCAGGGACCAAAAAGACAGAAGATCTGAATATTTTGGCTTTGAGATGGCAGTCCCTAAGCCTCCAGGAGAATCTCTGGTGCATGTCGCTTCTTTATTCTGGAAGGAGTCTCACTTTCTCTGGGGATGATAGTTAGGCCATTAGACCCTGGCAATGTGTCTCTTAGAATTGATGTTTCTGTATATGAAATAAAAACTTAAGAGTTTTCTAGAACAGATCAACTATGAAAAAAAAAAATCTAAGTACTATTTTGTGTAATGAGTAATTTGTTGCTAGGTACTGTCAAGTATGACTCATAGCGACTTGGCTAACAATAGAACTGAATATGTAATTTAACTGTATGTTAATAACTAACATTGTGTATTTATTTCATTTATCTCCATAGTTCTAAAATTGATATATTCAAATTGTTTTAAAGACAACTTTATTGCAGTGTCCTCAATAAAAATTATAAAATTCCTTCTAAAAGTGCCCATGTTTAAAGCAACTTGATGCATGTTGAGGTGGTTGAGAGGAGAACTTCTGAGAAAGAAAATTTCTGGCATATGACACACAAAGGGAACACGTGTCATCTGTGCACTCGGGGATCCACTACCTGCTTGGGATTTTACTTGTATCACAATTGCGATTCTCTTCCACTACTGCCTGTTGTAGCTGCCCTTCCTCAGAGGCGATGATCTTTTAAAGCCAGGCCTCTCAGCCACAAGCTACTCCTTGACTTCCTGACAAGTATGATAGCCAGACTGCCACTTGATTTCTCCCCTTTCCCATTTTGCTAGAAGAACATTTATTAAATCTGGAGGCAATAGGCAGAGGGAAGAGGTTGGATAATTATACTTTCTTGATATCCCTGTCCCCCTCATTTTAAAGATATAGAAAGTTAGGTTCAGAGAAAGAATGACTTGCTCAAGGTTACAGTAATATAGTGCCTGCCCAGGGTCAGGAACCCATTTCTCCCAAAACCTTTCTAAACACTTTTCCTCTTTTCTGAATCAGGCCTGAGTCCTCTATCATCTCAGACTGCCTTCCCCACCCCCATCACCTAGTAAATTTTCAAATGGGTTCTTGCTACTTTTTATTGGATGAGTGCAGGAATGCAAGCTGGAAAAAAACCCCAAAACAACCGACATACTCTGATATGCTAGAAAAGAATGAATATTCTTTAATATCAAGTGTAGATTATTTTTATATAGGTATATGAGCAGATTATTATAATCGGTGTATGTGATATTTGTTACATATTTCAGGGTGCTGTGGGAATCCAGAAGAGGGAACGATTAATTCACCCTGAGGGAAATCAGACCCTGTTTCTCAAAAATGAGACATTTGAGCCCACTTAAAAGGGTAAATAAGCGTTTATTTAAAGGAGATTGAAGGAAGAAAATTTCTGAAAGAGGGACTAGCATTTCCAGACTCATTCAAGCAGAGGCTCAGTGTGTTCAGGAGATAGCAGAGACAGCTGGCATGGAATGGACAGATTGAATTGGCAAATGAAGCTAGAGATGAAAAGAGATAAAGCCAATTTGAAAAGGGCTGTGAGTGCTGTGAATGCAAAGCTAAGGATTTTGACTTTTTTTTCTTTTCTTTTTTACTTTTAAGGCAAAGAGAAGTAGAGAATGTGGGAAGAAGTAGAAGTCTTACATGACCTGTTCATTTCTTACTCTTCTTTCATTCTGCTAATGAGGTTGTTACTATGCCTAATGTTTGAGCATCTGGTAGCAGGGGTTTGACAGCTTTGTGGAAATTATTTTTAACAATTACAGCAGCATCTCTGTCCTGCAGAGGTGGATGAGGAGAGGTTCCCCAGGGACAGCAGAGTGGAAAGGAGAGACAATCACCCAATTCCCATGGATGATGCCACCTGTGAAGCAAATCCTTCTCCAACTCTGGCCATTGTTCTTGACAGGGACTCAGCTCTGTCACTAAAGTGCATTAACTGTGTGAAGGCTAGGGAAGTTTATTTTTGGAGCAAGGGAGTTTTAAACTATTATTTTATGTAATCAAAATACTTTTTAGTATATATGTGTTAACACAAAACTTACTGCCTCTGAAAACCTGCTGGAGGGTCAGTTATGCATCAGTTCCAATTCAACACAAAACAACATCATAATTTAATTGCATCATAAATCTTCCCAAACTTAATAGTTGAACAACAAGCATTTATTTAATTTGTGCTTGTACATGTTGGCTATTTGAGCTCAAAGATTCTTCTGATTGGGACTGGGTTTGGCTGATCTTAGCTGTGCTCTGTTGTGGGTGAGCTGTGGCTGACTGGTTTATGATGGCTTCAGGTGGGACATCTGAGAAAGCTAGGACCTCTCTCTACCTGGTCTCCTATCTTCTAGAAATTTAATCTGTGAAGGTTCATTCTTAGAATTCTAAGAGGAAAAACAGAATCATACAAAATCTTTTAAAACCTGGGCTTAGAACTTGTTCAAGTGCTTTTTCTTTTTTTAAAAAAAATTATTATTAATTTTAATGAAAATTTACAGAGATTTGGATTTCTGTTCATTCATTGTTGTACTTTTCTCCCTGCCCACCCCTCCCCTCCAGTTGATTCTTCTCTTTGAAAAGTAAAAGATAAATTCTCTCATTGTTATACAATCCCCCCCCCGCCCCAAGTTACTCCACTATGCAGCCTTTGTTCTGGACTCATGACAATAATACCTATTTGTATATACCTTTTAAACAGTTCTCTCTCTCATCTGTTTGAATGCAGTAAACATAATTTATCCCATCAAGTGTTATTTTTTACTGCCACGTTCTGCTGTCCAAAGCAAGTCATAGGCAAGTCTAGATCCAAAAGGTAGATTCCACTTTTTGATGGGAAGGGAGCTCAGGTTGTGTAGTCTATAAAGAATGCCACTAACCCAAAGGCTGCACCTCTCTGTGGTTTGAATCCACCAGTGAGTACTCTGCTGGAGAAAGATGGTCAATGTCCTCCTATGCAATTTACAGCCTCTTAGGGAGATGGGAGGTCAGCTGTAAGGTCAGCTATGAATCGTTCTGGCAATAAGTGGGTTTTGGTGGGAAGATTACAAAGGCATGAGTGCAGGGGCGGAAATTTTTCTTTAATTTACCATTTAATCCATCTGACTTTCACCATCAGAACGAGTTTATAATTGATCTTATTGTTTTACCCATGAATAGGATATGAAGAATCTTTTGAATGCTAAGTCAATGTTCATGGAGTTTCAAGTGCTTTCACAGCATTGTCTAATTTAATCCTCAAAGCAGCTCTTATTTTTCTCATTTACATATGCAGAAACTGGGGCAGAGAGAAATTTAAGTAAGGTTAGGTGACATCCAAGGTCATTGAATTGTGAACCTGATATTTCTACTTATTGCCTGCTTGCAAGCGGAAAGAAACTGACACTCTGCTGTTCTTTTCTGGTTTTATGAAATGAGGCTGGAAAGATGGAGGGTTTTATATTCACTGTATTCACTGTCACAGTCAGCCCCTCAGCCCCAGACACAGACAAATGACTCTCCTCAGAAGGATCACTTTCCTGTTAACCATGGACTGACTGTTCCTAGGGTGAACCTGTAAAGTCACTGTAGTGTCTGGGGGACAGTCCCTTGCTAACAGTCCCTTACTAACTATACATATAGCTTAAAGGCCCACAAGACTGAAGAATTTGTTGGAGTCAGTTATAGTTTATGAGTGCAATGTGTGTACAGGAGGGTATGTGTGTTTAGCAAGGGTAGCACAGGTGGTACATACATGTATGTAGTCCACCAAACATAAGATGGAAAAACCGGAAATAGTATCTGAGCCCCAGGGGCCAGATCTGTTGGCATTAGCTTTACCAAGAATCTTGTGGAAGTGCTTGGAGTTTGAAAGTATTAAAGTCAGCTTGCTACATGGTACTCTTAATAGCTGGAATTGTGTCCTCAGCCAAGTTGAGCTCCTGGAGCTTGGCCAGCAATGGGAGCCGGGGCTTTAAGCTGTGGAATTGTGACTGGGAGCAGCAGGGAGGCATTTGATTGTCACAACCAGAGTAGGATTGGGCCTATAGTAGTAACGTTTATGAGACAAAGAAGAAGGTAGGATCAGGTAAGGACAAGGATGTGAGGAAGGCTCAGGATTCCTTATATTTGGATCTGACTGGTACAGGAGGAAAGGATTCCTGATATTTGGACTTATGTTTGCCTGGTTCATGTTCAGAATAACTAGGTGTTAAAATGCAGCTGGTAAGTATAGTACAGTGGTAGCTTAAAAGAGAAAGACCCTCAACAAGATGGATTGAGACAGCGGCTGCAATGAACTCAAACAGAGTAACAATTAGCAGGATGGTGCAGCACTGGGCTCATTCTCTTGTAATTGGGTTGCTATACATGGAAACTAACGCAAAAGCACCTAACAATAGCAACAACAAAATATAAGCTATAACATTAGCAGTAGCTTATTTTTTAACAGAGGTTATTCACACATATCCTGCTGCTGTATATTTGAAAGCTTTGTGTATAAGTCTGCCTTGTTGCTCTGACAGTTGTCTTATTTTTTCCCCTCTCCCAGAGCTCATCTCCTGTCCTGGATGTAAGCGAGTGTACCTTACCAGGGATGTAACAGAACATTTTCCCCTGCAGTGCTTTTCTTCTGGGCCACCTAACATGGCCAGGGTAAGTGGGGATAGGAAGGAAGCAGTGGAGTCCTTTCAGAAATCCCCAAGGCTCCTGTCCATAAGTCCGTCTACTACCCCTCCACCTGACTTTTTACTTCTCCATCAATTTGTCTATCTACTTGCCATCCATCCACTTATCCACTCACCTGTCCATCCACTTATCTACTTATACAGAAGAGGGGAAAAAACCCCAACAACCCAGTTCGAGTTTTAGGGAAATCAAATTAGAGCTTTCTATTAAGTGAAAATTACTATTTCTTTTTACTTTGTGCCAGTGCTTTGTATGAAAGGTAAAGATTTCTCTTTTTAATATGTCTAGGTGTTTTCCTCCACTTACAGTATTTATTGAAAATGATCAAGTATTGAATTTTAATTTCCTTTTTTAAATTTTATTACTTTTGTGTGTGTGTGCCATTAAATCGGATCTGACTGGTACAGGAGAAGATTGCCCGTCTTTCTCTAGCAGAGCATCTGGTGGATTCGAACCGTTTACCTCTGCGATTGCAGTGCAGCTTCTTGCCACAAAGCCACCAGAGCTCCCTGAATTTTTATTTCTTAACTTCTTGTTCTTAATTCATATATTTCTACCTGCCTGGATTAAGCAATTTTATCAGTCTTGCCTAAATTTAGCAACTAAATACCCTTTTCCTGAGATCCTAAAATTTCAGCTTATATTCTTTCTAATTGTTATTCTTTTGTTTCATTTCTCCATTAGGTATTCTTGACATTGTATTTATTTATTCACTCATTTAATTTAACTGAGTGCTGTCAAGTCAGAACCAACTAGCAGCTGATCCTCCATTAGGTCTCTGAGGCTCTAAATTGCACAGGAGGAGATTGTCCGGCTTTCTCTTGTGCAGTGGCTAGTGGATTCAAGAGGCCAGAGAGGTGTGGCCTTTGAGGTAGCAACTCAACTCCCTGTGGACTATGTCACCAGAGCTCCCATTCTCTCATTTGTTTACTGATTTCTATATCTAATTTTTATCAAATGTTTGACATCTTCCAGGCACTGTGGCTGGGTGCTAGAGAGACAGAGACTCAGAGTATGTAATCTCAAGTAATAGTTTAATTTTTAAGCTTGTGGGTTTTTTCCCTTCTACCTTCTGCCATAGTTTTGTCAGATGCCAGTCTGAGAGGAAAATTGTCAGAATTCACATTAGTTTGGTGGTCTGTGTGATTTAGACAGAATCTGTGGAGTTACATATTTGGTAGCAGAGAATATTATGGAGCCTTCCAGGTTTTTTGTGCTTTATTACATGTTTTATAGTCAAAAGAAGAAAAGAAATGCGGACATCAGGCCAGTTTAATTTGACTGTTGATACCTTTTAAACATCGTACAATGTGTATAACATGCTTTTGGGGTTCTCTGAATGAATCACCACTTACATTAGTGGTTTTCAAACTCTATTGCTTGTGGCTCTTTTGGTTAGATAAAAAAAGATGAAAATGATTGAGATGGTGCTGGTGACTGAAGTACTGTGGCCTTTTAGCACCTTCTTGTCTCTGAAGTGATTCCTACACATCATTTGAAAGCTGCTGTGGGCCAGCTTGAGTATCCTGCGGGCTGTTCCTCAAGACAATGCTGACATCTGAATTTCATCTCCAGCTTCTGTTTCATTCTCCTGACACTTTGTTTTCCACACACAACAAACTGCTGAGTATGTTTATACCCCCATGCTTTTGCGCCTGTTTTCTTTTATCAGATTTCTCTTTTACCTTTAAAGTGTAGCCAATTCCCACTCATTCTAAACATCATCTCATCTGAGACTTCTTCCCCAACACCTCTTAGGCTGGTCTAGGTAGTCCTTTTTTCTTCTGTTTTCTGTCATAACATTTCCCACACACATTACTTCATCTATTCACCTATCAACACTTAATAAATATTCTCTGTGAGCAGAATATGTGCTTCCTATGTTTAATGATTGCTGTTGTTATCTCAGTTTTAAAATTGGAGATTGTAAGTTTAGACCAGACTGAAATCTAGTCCTTTAATTTCCAAAGTTTCTTTTTGCCACACTATTTTACCTTCCCACAAGAAAGGGATCTTGTGCTTTTGAAAAGCTTTGAGTTTTGTTTTGGGAGGAATTTTTTTGCCCTGTTAAACACAAGAAAAATTTTAAAAAGAGCTGTGGAATCTCTTCTTCAGGATTTCTTCCCTGTCAGAGAGTGCCCAGGCTCAGCAGCTGAATCCCTCTTCACAGGAGGCATCTGACATGAGTGAAGGATGCCAGCCAACTCCCCTGCTCCCACACCCCAAGGGGTGAGCAGTTACCTGCCATACTTGGCAGTCAGGACGCTTAGCAAAACAGAAGACCAAACATTTAGCAGCTGTTTTATCTAGTGGTGGGAGAGAAAGGAGGCTTTTAAGACCCTTTTTACTTTCTCCATTGGTTAATGGAGAGGGTATGGATAAGACCACCTTATAAAGTGTTTGTTTGTTTATTAATTGCTTTTATACTACTGTTTTATTTACAAAATTCATCTTATAAGGTTATGTTATGTGGGATATATTTAAGTGGTAACACTATGAGGTAGCATAGTATGAGGGGAGTAAAATATAACCTCAACATAGTAATATTCTTGAATAGGATATTACCCAACTTTTTCTGAAGCTTCTCTTTTGCTATTTTATGTCAGCACTGGCAAAATATCTTGCCGATCAAATGAATGCCTAAGTGATAGCGCTAAGTGCTCTTGGGCCAAGAATGCTCAACTTGTAGAAGCATAACTGTGAAAGCTGGTCTTGAGAAACAAAGTTTTACTTCTTATGGAATATAGATGTCTGAGTTCTATGGAGGTTGAAATGATTTATCATCCAAGATAATATTTGAATCTTGAATCTCAAGAAAACAGAATTTATGTCAGACAATAGTTTTGGGTATTGTGCTCTTTTGAAGAATTATGTTTGTTCAATGACAGACATGCCAACGGTCATACTAGAGCTGTGTTTTAGGGCAAATAAGTAGTTATTTTAATTGTTCTTCAAGATAGTGCCATAATGGAATCCTTCATTACCACAGGTTCTTTTTCCATGGCAGTGTATAATCACTAGTGACAAGATAGGCTAAAACATATTCTTTCTGCTTTAGAACTTTTTTTTTCTTTTACTCCTTAGTTGAAATGTTATCCCAGTTTGGCAATTCGTATATTAAATAAACTTAAATAAATTTCTATACTGGCTTAATAGGATTTTTAACAGTGTGTACTTGCTGTTTTGTGGCTATGTTTGATCATCTTTCTCAGTACTCTCACTTCTGGGGCTTCCTTCTTTCTACAGGCATAGTGAATTTTCTGCTTTTGCTTGTTTTTGCTGTCTGTTATACATTTGTCTGCCTGTTAAACTTCTACTTGTCATGCAGTATCCAGCCCAGCTGTCACATCTTTGTGAGCCTCTCCTGGCCCCTCCTTGACTGAGCTCCTTGGGACTTCCTTGTGTTTCCTCAACACCAGATGCACCTTCTTCACTTAATGTCTGTCACCCTGTGAGTGCCCTGAAGGCAGACCCCTGGTTTGTTCATCTCGGTGTCCTCCTGTTCAATAGACCCAACATCCTGATTAGCCTCCAAGGCAGCCTCAATTCTGTGGACACAGGGATGCTTTCCTCCCAAACCCCACGTGCCTCTCATGGACAGTCCTCCAGAATTTACTATATTCTCTAGTAGAGGAGCAGCTCTGCAGGAACCCAGTGCCCAGAGCTCTTGTTGCTGTTACAGGCAGGCCCAAACGAGGCTATTGTCAATAACCCCAGAATTTTTTGCTTCCAGAACTGCTCAGAATGCAAGGAGAAGAGGGCAGCACATATCCTCTGTACCTACTGCAACCGTTGGCTGTGCAGTTCCTGCACTGAAGAACATCGGCATGGCCCCACCCCAGGGGGCCCTCTCTTTCCCAGGGCCCAGAAGGGATCTCCAGGTACTACACTCTCCTCTTGCTACCAGCTCTCAGCAGTGAGGAACTCTACAGTTCCTGAAGAAGAGCTCTTGATCTTGTTTTCCTTCCATGGTTGAGGATAGGTTGATGTCAGAGCCAATCCCAAAGTGAGGGAGTTTCCTTATGAGTAAAGGAGTGTCAGTTTGTCTCTGTGGGAGACAGTGAGAGTGAGTGAGATATGAAGAGTGTAATTGTTTGAACTATCATGGGTACTAACTGAGTTCCTTCTCTTTTGCCTCATTTCTTACTTCATTAATTTAACAGCTTGGAATGGAGCTTGTCTATTTGTCCATTCAGTGCCTCTGTTTTAAGTGACAATCTTCTAAAAAATCTTTTTTTGAAGCCCCTTAAACCATGGCTCACCTTTGCCCAACACATAGGAAATAGCATTAATGATTCATGTGTACATAGTCTAGAACCTGGCAAGTCTGGGTAACTGGCTTAGTCCTATTATAATAGAATCTTGGCTACTAAGGAAGTTTCTTTTTGGAGTGTTTGTTATTCTGCAGGAGATCAATATGCATTTAGTAGCAAACACCTTTGTCAGCCTCTGCTAAATGGTAGAATGCCTGGCACATGATGTGACTTTTTCTTGGCGGGTGGATACATCTAAGCCTTACATTCTCTTTATGCCTTGGGAACTCCACCCACCTAAAGATAAGCATCTCCTGTTTGTATCCTCTTGGTCTCAAGTAGTCCTTTGTCTCTCCCCTGCATACTGAGGGTTGAGGGCTACTCTTTAGAGCTTAACTGACAGGCCTACCTGGTGAGCTAAAGAAGCCCACTTTCTTTTCTTTCTCTGGTAGGAGTGAACAGTGGTTCTGGGGACTTCGCTTTGTACTGCCCTCTGCACACACAGGAGGTGCTAAAGCTGTTCTGTGAGACCTGTGATGTGCTCACATGTCATAGCTGCCTCATGGTGGAACACAAGGAACACAGGTGAGACTGACTGCCTGAAGGGTGCATGGAAGGTTCTGAACTCTCCTTGTGAGAGCTCTTGTGGGCTCCAAACCAATCTGTAGTCTCTGAGCTGATCTCAAGTTTTTCTTGGCTCCTATTATGGGCATCTATGGAAAAAGCCTAATGGATTAAGAGCCTACAGTATTTCTAACTTTCCGTAGATGTAGTCACATTCCCCGGGGCTTGACTGAGACACTCAGTGTGGGGATTCTTCTGGCATATCTGGGCTGGGACACAACATTCCTCAGCTGTTTTTCTCCCTCATGTCCTAGGTGCAGACATCTTGAAGAAGTTTTGCAAAACCAGAGGATGCTTCTGGAAAGTGTGACTACACAGGTGGCACATAAGAAATCTAATCTACAGACATCTGCTAAGCAGATCGAGGACAGGTAGCACCATCTTCCTTGGAGTGCTGAGAATGTACTGTTTTTTCCCTTCTTAGGGCCCAATACTCTCATCCTAGCTCTGGTTGTCTAGTGGATAAAGAGGTGTACTACCAACCCAAATCTACCTGTTGCTCCACAGGAGAAAGATGGGAAATCTTTTTTTATATATACAACCTCTGAAAATCTGCTGTAGGATCAGCTGTGAGTTGGTTCTGACATTGGGTTGAGGTCCCAATACCAGGCTATTATATGTATGGTTTATGAAGTGGATATGCAGTTAACAGTTGTAGGCAAATATCCTAGAAGGTATATGATCTGACCTTAGGGGATCTCAAGGCCAGAGAGAGGGTAACTGAGGACAACTTCAGTCAGGATAATCAGAGTAAGTCTAGACCAAAGCAGAAGCCAGTTAGTTGTCTAAGAATAAAGACAAAAAGTAAATATTGGGAAATAAATTACTGTTAATTAAGAGAGTATAGCGGCAATCTTCCTTTTATTACTCCCTAATGTTTTAAATGTAAATCTATGAATGTCATATCATTGCTATTATAATTAGAGGAATTATCAAGTTATGAGAACTTATGTGCCAAGCAGTAAGCTGAGCAATACATATACGTTATTTTGTTCAAATCTAACAGTTCTTTGAGGTGGGAGTTATCTCTGTTTTACTGATGTAAAGTTTAAAAGTTCTGACTGAGCCTCAGAGAAATCAGGTGACTTTTCTGAAATGACACTGCTAGTCAGTGACTTGGGCTCAGAATTTGGACTCTGTGCAACTTCTAAGCCAATGTCCTTTAAAAAAAATTAAAAACCAAACAGCTTTTTTGATACTTAAATTACATGACAAAATTCACCCTTTAAAATATAAATATTTTAATATAAAATACAACCATTTCTATGTCTAATTTTAGAATATATTCCTGGCGAGCTTTGGTGGCCTAGTGGCAAGAAGGTGTACTGCAATCCCAGAGGTGCACGGTTCAAATCCACCAGATGCTCTGCCGGGGAAGGAGGGACAATCTCCTCCTGTACCAGTCAGATCTGATTTGACGGTACACAGACACACAAAAAAATACTAAAATAAAAAAAATTAAAAATAAAAAAGAATATATTCCTTATCCTAAAAAGGAATTCAGTCATTCTTCATCCCCAACCGCATATCATATGTCAATGGTTTTTTAGAACATTCTCTTTCTTAAAGCAATAAATTATGTTAAATGATACACACTTTCTCTGCCTGTGCTTCTAATGCTATGTGAACTGGTAAGCTGCTGTATTGATCTGGATGTGAACTTGAGGTCTACCGGGATAAAAACATACTGTGCCATTGATCAGCTTCCACTGAGTGTGCTGGGTTGTGCAAAGAGTAGGTGAGGAGAAGTTGAGTTTCTTTTTGGTGTCTACTGGCCCTTTCTCTTCTGTCTTTGTAATGATCGTTTACACTCTTCCTGAATGATATCTTTGACATCCTCCCACAACTCATCTGGTCTTCGCTCATTAGTGTTCAAGGCCTC